TACCGAATGAAACGATGTATCGCGACGTCTGTAGGCGTGCCTCACGCATAGGTAAAATACTACTTAAGCTTGGCGTAAGCGCTTGCCCTTGTATGCGGACTCTAGTGGGGGTGCTCCGTGCGCGCGGGACAGGCTCAATCCCGCATTTTGGGAATAATTAACTAACCATAACCGTACGTCCAGCGTACTGGGGAAAGCGCAGGCGGGTGGCACAGACAAATGTGGACTGGCGCCAGCGAGATCATGCACTATGGGAATGCTCACTTTATGAGGCCGCTCGGAAGAAAATGCTAGGAAAGACCACGATCACAGAACCCGGACCTGTCTTTCATGGGAACCTCGTCAGTTGTAACTAGGATGCATTCTGGGAGTTTGCCCATTCTTGGCACTCCATTCGTGTCACTTACGAGTAGGAACGAAGACCAGGAAGATGCCCGACGCAAAGTGCTGTGCTGTGAAGTCTAGCCCCGGAAGGGGGAGAGTAGGAAACAAAAAGGGACGGAAACAAAATTTGTAGAGTCAAGACAAGCGCAGGCGGTGAAAAAGCCACAGGCAAGTACCCCCGCGCTCTCCCAAGATTTGGTCCGTATACCATGATTGGTAGGAAGAAGACCATGGTTTGGTGGAGGGTTTTGGCCGCCTGCCGCCGGCAAATAAGATTAAAATTCAAAAACTTTTTGTTATAAATTTTTTTTTCTAACACTCTCATTTTGTAGTTCGTACAAGATGCGAGTATGTGTAGACGCAATTTGTTTGGCGTTTCGGGCATCACTAGGCGCTGGCTGAAAATCAGCGCTGCGGTGGTATTGCGAAAGTAAGTACTACCACAGTAGCATAGCTGAGACAGCGACCTGTTGGCCCCGCACAGCAGCACCTGAATTTAGTTTTCTTGTTTTTATTTGTGGTTATGTTTTTTTTTTATATATTCTGTTTTGTTTTAATGTACCTACCTATGCTGTGTAACCAATAAATGATTTTTCATCCCACCACCTCGGAAAGTGTAATTTTGCGCTTCGAAATCTGGCTGGAAAATTCTATTTTATTCGCTTGAGCGGCAAAGTAGATTTGAATTTAGAACATCACATATAATGAGTACTCAATATAATTGTAAATTCAAAACGTCATTAAACCTATTTAATGTAACCTCTATGGTGCCAAATTTATGATTAGAACTTTTTAAATTGTGAAAAAATTTAAAGAAACCTTCTTGGTTTCTTTGTTTTATTTGCGTGCTTCGCGCCATTCTAGTTTTTCACGTTTTATTGCTTAATATAATTAACATAACCTAAAAACTGTACAAAAAAATCAACTAAAATGAGTGACATTAGCGACGATGAAGTTTATCTAACGCCAACTGAGTTAACTGAAACAGTTAATAATGCGCAAATGAGCCTTCTCCCTCAGCAATCACGAGAGAAGTATTTGAAACAGTACGATATATTTAACATGTGGCGACTAGCTAAAGGAGCAAAAACTTTCTCCGAAAACGTTTTGCTGGCATATTTTATAGAATTATCTGAGACCAAGAAAGCAAGCACGCTATGGAGTACGTATTCAATGCTAAAATTAACAATTAAGATGAAGAAAGACGTTCATATCGACACCTATCATAAATTAGTGGCATTTTTAAAAAGAGCCTCATCTGGTTATAAACCAAAAAAATCGAAGGTTTTCACAGCATCTGAAATTGCAAAGTTTATTAATGAAGCACCTGATTCCGTATATTTAGCGGCAAAAGTAAGTCAATACGTGTAATTTTTTGTTGTTGATAAAATTGTACATAGTACTTACAATATTTTTAATTTGATTAATTTATTTACGATTATAAATACTTCTTTTGTTACAGGTTGTTCTTATTATTGGTATAACCGGAGCATGTCGAACAAATGAACTTACACTACTTAATGTCAATAACGTATCAAAATATTCTCATAATTCTGATGAATTGCTATTAATTAATGTACTAAATACCAAGACAAAAAAAGACCGCAACTTCGTTATTCGCAAGGAATATGTAAACATTGTTCAGAAATATCAAGCTTTACGTCCTTCTAACACCCCAATTGAACGATTTTTTCTACAATATCGCAACGGAAAGTGTATCCGACAACCTATGGGTCAGAATAAAATTGGCAGTATTCCACGAGAAATAGCAACTTTTCTCGGACTTTTAGAACCCCCGTTATACACCGGTCACTGTTTTAGAAGAACCTCAGCCACACTTTTGGCCGAATCAGGGGCTGATCTTCTATCGCTTAAGCGCCATGGAGGCTGGAAGTCTAATTCGGTTGTAGAGGGATACATAGAGGATTCAATCCAAAGTAAATCAAAAATTTGTAATAGTATCGTGGAGGCCATAACGCTGAAAGAACCTCTGTCAGATTCTTGGTCTCGCCCTTCTACATCTAAAATGAGCCCCCATAAGATTGGAAACAATAGCCCTCTCTCGCCAACATTTACGCCAATAGAATCCAATGAATCGGCACAACTATTTAAAATTACTGATACGAGTAGTTTACCACAAAACAGCGCACAATTCACAAACACCAACATAACATTACCTAACAAAAATATTAAACTTAACATAAGTAACTGTAGCAACGTTACATTTAATATTTCTTAATTATTTTCTACTTCTTATTATTTTCTTCAATTTATAGATTATCTTAATGTGTTTTAATTGAAATAAAAATATTTTGTCATTATAAATTGTTTTCTTTTTCATTTTGTCATTTCCTCGCTGAAGTGGGATGAAAAGTTACGTATTGCACTCGAGTGGAAAGATTTTTCACCTTGTGCTCGTTTGTTTCCCTCGCTGACGCTCAGGATTCTAATTTAGAATCCTTCGCTTGCTCGGTCATCCAAATCGAGCACGCGGTTAAAAAGGAACTTTCCACTCTTGTATAATAAATAACTATTCTTTCTTTCTTTCTTTTACTATGTCCCGCTTTTTCCACTCAAAAAGTTCCTAAATTCCGACTTGGCAAAAAAAAAATCTGGCAACGCTGTCCATAAGTATCTACTGTTTTCAACTTTCCTTTGTACTTTACTTTACCAGGCTTAGGTCTACATATCTGTTTTGTTGTATCCATGAAAATACTTATTAAAATATTGCGTAACGCAATACAGGAGTACTAATAGGGTAATTGTTATAAACAAGTTTACCTACCTTAATTTAATTTTTAAGTTTTCTAATTTTTGACATTTTCAACCTTTTTTAAACGACTTATTCGCACGAAGAAGATTCTCTCGTTCAACGTTACTTATTATTAAAACGGTTTACATTAACCATTCAATCAAATGCGCTTAAAATAATCACAGTCAAGAATGGGTAAAGTAAAGCGTTGTTGCTAAAAGTCGACAACGTATCGCAACGAAATGAATAGAGACTAGAGTAAAAATAGCCAACCAAAAGCCATTGCTTTTGAATGGCTAAATTAAGCTAATAAATTCACTCATATAAGCCAAAACGTCAAAAAACATTTTTTGTGACGTTTTGGCATATATGAGTGAATTTAGAGCATTGTGGAAACTAAATACATAGTTTTTTTTCCGTTAGAGAGCGAGTGATTGTAATTCAGCTAGATAGATAGTTGAAAAATTATCTATATTATATAAATAGCTACCCCCCATAGCTACACCCCACTATGCCCTCGCCTATATGAGTGCATGTAGTAGTATCCAGAGAGCGAGCAATGGGGATTTCCACCGTTTTGCCAACGCCCTCAGGATGGTGTAGGGGCTGCCGCGCATCCGCCTTAGTAGCGAGGCGCGGCGCTTACGCATTATGGCCGCGATACCATCTCTAAGTGCTTCGGCAAACATCAGTGACGCGGCAGCCCCATCAAAACCCTGAACGCGCTATTATATTGTATTCGAAGGCTGCTATATATCCTCTGGGTATACTTCACCCACAGACCGCATGTAAAGAAAGATTGGCAGAATGCTTAAAAAGTGATATTTTAACCGGCTTGGTACATTTTACGAATCTGCGGGCTAACATATTACAGCAAACAGACAGTGACCTCCGCTCTCATTCAATATCACAATATATATGCTGCATTTATTAAGGCTATCTATTCAAAATAAAATAGAATTGAATTGAAAAAAAAAAACACTCATTGCAATCATTTTTTGGACCTCATTAGCGGGAGCTTTTGAATTTAGACGAGACAGTCTCATATGACTCTATAGGTGACATGACAGCAAATTTTGTAGTACCTAGATATAGAACTTTTATTTTTTTACAACAATGTCCGTTTACTCTGATTAATTAACTAACAAAGTAAAAAAATAATAGTGAAGGACATACGTTGTGCATGTTGGGGCTGATTTCGTCGATGTCCTTTACCACAGATTTTTAATGTCTCTCATTAAGTTTATGATAAAATGTATTCATAATATCAGAAATATACTGACCGAAAATAAAAATCAGCTGTATAAAACCGACTTTGTGAAATAAAGAAAAGTAGATGACGCACCTTGCTGAGCCGAGTTATTAATGCACGTGTGCTATAATCAACCAACCCAACTAACCATCATAGCACGTATACCGTGTAACACCCCCCCCCCATATTCTACCCCTTTATACCCGCACACCATGCAAACCGCCAATTTATATTTTTTTTCGTCAATTTCTAATGACGTGACTTCTCACGGATCACGTAACGTTTCTACGTTACATGATCCCTGCATTAGCCTCTATTCAAAAGACTGACGATTTGGCAGTGGCCAAAGCTCATGGCAGTTTGTTGAAATTTTTTTTGGCTGCCTTAGACGTTCGGCCCTATATGAAGGGCTCAGGTACGGTGGGAGTACTTCACAAGATGCAAGGTTGCCTTCCCTAAGTTATTCTGGCGCGCTCGAGTAAATCCTAAAATCCCCGCTTCGAGACTCAATGCAGAGACGATACGCTGTGGCCATGATTATATCGCTTTACAACAGTGTATTAATTGTAAGCTCAGTATTTACTTATTGTTTATAATTATTCTTTGTTTTAGTATTTACCAAAACGTTCGCTTTGATGGACCTTACGTAAACAAAAATATAGTCGGAGTTATCTTACAATTGGACGACAAAAATGTAAAAAGACTTAAAAATATTAACTGGACATACAGCAAACGCTTTATCTATGGGTCTCTTTTACTATTTACAAAAGATTACTGCCACAGTTTCATAATAGCGACGATCATAGATCGTGACGTAAAACTTCTAGCAGCAGGACGGGTAAGAAATTATGAAATGAATTATGTTTTTATTTATTAAGCTTTTAACTGCTGGATGTTGGAATCTTAAGAAAATAATGATTATGTTTTCTTACGTAGGGGTCCATCCATAAAGTACGTCACACTAATTTCGTGTTTTATTTACCCCTCCCCCGGCCTTGTCCCAGTTGGTCACATTTGTGAGCTCCCTACATCTGCTGAATAGATAGAAATTATAACAGCAGTTCCGCAATTAATTCATGAAAACCCATATATAGAGTTCTAAATATTCTAAAGTTTTTTGATAATATTTCAAAAATAATAGGTATTAAAATTTGACGTCACGGAACTTAGGAATTCTCTCAACCCTTGTCACACCATGTCATACTTCGTCAACCCCCTCTGCCGTACTTTATGGATGCTTCATCCAAGCTAAAAAATCGGACATCAAATAAAACAAAAATACTATTTTTCAGATACCAATAAATATTATAGAGCAGGCTGATGTGCCCTCTATTGCAAATATTCAGAATGAAACCTATCTTATGATTGAAAGTGAAGTCTACTTTGAACCGTATCAACATGTCCTTAAAGCTCTGCAAGACCGGAGTTTCTCGCGCAACTTGGCAATGAGTAAATACATCGTAAATGTAGAGGTATTATTTAGTATAAATATTATTTATTAGAATGAAGTTCCTATTTAAACGGTACGGCGGCTAGGCGAAAAAAAAGTGTAAGATTTTTCCGTCACGGGGCGGGATAATACGTTGCACTGTTACGGATAGGTAGGTATAAAACCTTCTATTAAGACTAAAGCTTGTGAATGTCTTTGGACATTTTGATTTACGTCAATCAATTAATAAAATAAAAAATGAATGTGTATAGTAATTCTTTCTGTTGAAACTTTGCTTTGCGATTTAAATAAAAATAAACGATTTAAAAATACCGAAGAAGCTTTGCTTTTACATACACCATTTTGGCGGAAAATTTAGGCCTTGGCGAGATTTTGATTATGTAGTTAGTAGTTTTCCTTCCATCTATGGTAGTTTTATCCCACTATGGTTGTCTCTAGCGGGAGTTTCCAAATTAATCAAAAAATAAACTTACAGTGCGACAAGGATCTTTATGAATGTGAGTGACAGTTCAAGGAGGGCGCCACTGTCTACGTACGTAAACGCCATTACAATATGACATTTACAAAGACGGCGCGAAATTCATAAAGATCCTTGTCGCACTATATTTTTGTATGTTACGAGAAAACCTCTCCTATCTCATGATGGTTTTTGTCCCTTCCATGGTAGTTTTTCTATGGTAGTTTGTTTATGGTAAATTCCTCCACTTATGGCAGTTTCTTTCCTCTTATGGTCTTCATTTATAACTTCGTTCCAACTGAGTGTTCCACGACAATCACGTTTACTTTTTATTTTAAACGTGTGATAGTATAATATATATAGTATATATGACTATAACTTTATTTCATTTTTATTCAGCCTGAAGCACGACCACCCAAATATGTAACTGACTCAACAGAATATACAGTAGAGACAAACGGCTTGAGAAAACGCTTTAACGTACTTCAAACTTTAACATGGCCATCTCACGAAGACTTAAATTTTAATCAAAGCCAATATGAAGCTTATAAATTAGCACTCACTCACGAGTTTGCAGTAATCCAAGGTCCTCCAGGTACAGGCAAAACATATATTGGAGTGAAAGTAGCTGAAACTCTGCTAAAAAATTTTTCGACATACGGTAACAGTGATTGTTTAATGCTAGTTATTTGTTATACAAATCATGCTCTGGATCAATTCCTGGAGCATATTTTAAAAATTACGAGCTCTGTTGTACGTATTGGTGGCCAATCAAGAAATCCAGCCATGGAAGCCGTTTCCTTAAATTCATTAAGACGATCGAAAGGCATTAAAAGCAATCATGCCGCGAATAATTTGTACTTTACCGAAAGGCAAAACTTAAGATTGATAACGGCTGAGCTACGATCAGCTCAAAATAACATAGATAAGTTGCGTGATGGTATCTTGTCATACGAATGTTTAGCAAAATATGTTCCTGAAGTCAATATCTTGCAGCAGTTTTATGGAGCCAATGGCGATATTATATTAAAATGGTTATTTGAACACATGCCAATCACATTAGTAGATCGTATTGAATTGGAACAGAATGAAACTCATGAGCAAGAATTTTCATTGGATTGGATGTTTGAAGAAGATGACACAAGGAACACTGTTACCCACAATGATTTTTGGGATACCGAAGAAATAAACATATATGGCATAGAATTAGAAACTACATTGCTTCTAGAAGATATAGAACGAAAATTAAGCCGCTTAAAATCGATCTATAAGAGAAGTAAATACAGACTTGAGAAGCAAGATTTGTATAATCAAATATGTGAGTTGTACTCCCGCGTATTATTTTTCAAGGTAAGTAATTTTTAGGCTTATTATTTTATCTTATTATTTGATTACATCCCTAAACTAAACAAGTATTACAAAGATATGATTTGACACGGATATAAATATTTGTCACCCCGACACAGTAGTTAAAAAAAATATCCAAGAAAAAAACATTTTAAAGAAGATTTTACTAGAAAAAGTTCCACGCGAACTAGACAGCAGACAGGACTCGAACCCCGGCTATCCGGGAAGATGCATTGACCATTATTCAATCGCGGTCTTAACTTAACGGCTGCAAGGCAGCGCCATCTCTTCGCTTTGTAGGCAACCCACAATCTCATCAATCAATGGCGCTGCCTTGCCTAAGAGCCTAAGAACTTTTAGGAAAAAATCGATACCTACGGCCTACGGCTGCTTTAATTTTTTTGTTAATCAAAATATCCTCAATTATAATCTTGAAGCATGAGCATGCAGTACTGACTCTAGTCCAGAAACTCTTTAAAATATGGAATGCTATCTATAATTTTGCTATTTGCGCTTTGTGGTGGGCTAGTACGTACCTTATAAATATAATAATAATACCAACTTAAAATACGTCAATGCTTAGAATAATTTTCTCAATTATCCACTGTACTCTTTTTAGGAAATGCGAGACTCCTTCTCGGCACATGGTGTACCTCGAGAAATCAGACCGGGAGAAAATATGTCGCGAATGCCGAATGCTGATAGATGGCGATTGTACTTTACGTGGGTAAACGATATAATCCGTATGTTCACGGAAATGATTAAACCTTTACAAGTGAGTTTTTTTTGGCTACTAGCCCCTATTTCACGTACGATGTAACTCCCACTGAGTTGATACTTATCAAAATTTATATTTTATTATCGTGATTGTCTGCTAGATTGATGTATGATAAAATAATTGCCAAAGATATTTGATATTCAGCCCGATTTACACTTTAATAAGTACAGTAGAGAGTTATGAAACCAGTCAGTTAAGTAACTGGTAGTTGGTAGAGGTATCGTCTAAACGTACGCGAGTAAGTAGGCATAAGTTGCCGGTTCGAGAAGAAGACTTCGCATTAACTTCGATGTATGAAAATGGAAGAATGTTATGAACCGTAGTACTAAGCTCGCCCGCTTTCTCCGTTCAATCGACAATCACTTCTAAACTCACCGATTTCGCCTGCTTTCGCAAGTTAACTCGCTATTGTACTTATTGAAGTTGCTTTACAGATTTACAATTTCTTGCTAATTAGGTGGATTTTCGATGAAGGAGCGTTTTCGTTTCTGTACCATACCTATCTAATGTTTTCCGCAAGAAAGTATAGCCATATAATTGGTCTATAAAAAAAACCCGAGTTATCGTGCTTAATAAAAAGAAAACTAAAAAACACATCGCTATGTAATTACATGGACCTACAGAAAAATTAAAAACACCAACTATAAAGCTGTAATCTTATGATCATAATACAGGGTTGTTCAACAAGAACTTTGTTTTTCAATTGTGGCTACACCAACAATTTGATAGTTTTGACATTTAGTTTTTTTGACGTATTCGTACATGCATTGGCAATTGTTACAATGAATTCAAAATCGCTTGAAAATCGAATTAAAATAATTAAAATCCACTATGAAAATAGGGGTTCGGTTACAGTTACATTTTGTTAAATTCGTGATATTTTCGGACAACATAATCGTCCTTCTGAGACCGCTATTAAGAATTTGGTCGTTAAATTTTAATCGACAGGCTCGATACAAAATGTGCCAACACCAACGCGTGTTCGACCGGGTCGTTCAACTGAAAGCATCGCAGGCCTTAGCCACAGTGTTGAAGCAGATCCAAATTTGTCAATTCGGCGACGGTCTCAACAATTGGGGTTATCCAAAACCACCACATGGCGAATTTTGGCCTATTATTGATGACGTGGATATCACTGATATGTGGTTTCAAAAGGAAGGCCACAAGTCACACAGCCAATGAAACAATCAATTTATTGCAGACCAAATTTTCCTATCGCATAATTCCACTAAACTCATTTGTTAAGTGGCTAGCCAGATCATGAGATTTAACACCACTCGATTATTTTTTGTGGGGTTATGTTAAGGACAGAGTCTATACGGGGCCAATCGAATCGATTGCAGCTTTAAAACTCAATATCCGTGACGTGATTAAGAAAATAGTCCCGCCATTTGCCAAACAGTGATTTAAAAATTTGGTGAAAGAATCGACATCTGTCAGCGTGCTCGTGGTGGTCATTTGCCAGATATCATTTTTCATTCATAATTGCCGTACTATTATTCCCTTTGTTTTCTAAAACAAAATAAAACAAAAAATTAGGTGAAGATAATTAAAAAAATTATTGAATTAGAAAGTTATTTGAAGTTAGAAAACAAGTTTCTTGTTGAAAAACCCTATATAATGAAGAATGCAAACATGATTGTAATCTAGTAAATTGTTTCTAGAAAGAGCTGAATTCCTCATTGACTGCGTATGAAGAAGCAAGAATGAACCTGGACCTCAATTTGATAAAAGGTACAAAAGTGATCGGAATGACTACCAGTGGAGCTGCCAGGCTACGAAAACTGTTACAAACACTTGCGCCGCCGATAGGTAGGTAATCATTTTGATAATTAATCTAATAATTACTTATCTTAAGTATTCTTGGAAACTTAGTAGGTAATGAAATTAAATATACACACATAAATCGTAAACAAAGGAAAAAAATATCTAGTTCCTATGAGGTTCTCCTGAAGGGAGAATCTGGGTTACTCAGAGAAAGAAGGGGTCTACAATACGTTTATATAATAGAAATGATAGTAATTGGACTTTTTAATTACATTGTTTTGTACTCAGGAATAAAATTACAATTAAATATATAATATAGTCAACATATCGTGTCTGTGCCTGAATTCAATCTCGAAACATCGATGTGAGGCAACGAAAGATTCTTACATTCTAAAATTTAAACACTTATGTTTATTTTTAATATAACCAGCGGTAGGCAATACACAAGCAAAGAGGTCATAACGCTACGGGCGTTACAGTACCTACTAATCATTTATTCTTGTATGTCCTACGTAAAAACGAGGAATTTCCCATTATAATCATCATCATCCTCATGTCAGCCCGCGATGCCCACTGCTGAGCATAGGCCTCCCCCAAGGATCTTCACACCGATCGGTCCTGCGCCACTCGCATCCATCGGCTTCCCGCGACCTTCACAAGATCGTCGGTCCACCTTGTAGGGGGCCTGCCCACTGAGCGTCGTCCGGTGTGTGGTCGCCATTCCAGAATCTTTCCGCCCCAACGGCCATCGGTTCTTCTTGCTACGTGTAGAATTATAATACCAATAGCATATTGAGATAGATTAACAACAGTACTAAGTAAGTACTTCAATACTAGAAGTTCTTTGGTTCATATTCAGCCAAATATCGTAGCCGAATAGTAGCACATCCGTTCATCACAAAATAAAGAACAGAACAAAAGGACAGCCCGCTCCATTCTCGAAAATAATCAATTAGGCCGGAAGCATTGCTGGCAACATTATATTCCACAGTATAAACATACGTAGTAAAAAACTCGACAAAATCTCACGGTTGTGGGTTGCGGTGTGGATATCCACGCATGAACATGGTGGGGATGAAATTTTTATCGCGATGTACGATGGATAAAGACAGCAGCTGGAATTAGTAAAAACAATTACCCAAAACACTTCCAGTGATAAATGCGATAGGAGATGCAAAGCGAAGATATATTTTGTATGTTGTTACTCAATCACGCAAAAACGTCTGAAGGAATTTGGATAAAATATGGCATTCATAGTTTATTGCCTGGATTGAGACAAAGGATACTTTTTATCTCCAAAATATGTGATTGAATATATAATAAAAGACATCGCGGAAGGCGTTATTATTAGGAATTATAATATGCCCCATTCCTTAAATGTATGATTTTTATGTTTCCAATCTCTTATACGCTATTTTATAATGTATTTAATTAATTTAAAAAAACGTTTTCAACAGTTATTGTGGAAGAAGCGGCAGAAATTTTAGAACAACATATCGTCACGTCTCTATCTTCGAGTTGCGAGCACCTAATTCTTATAGGTAAGTAAAAACGAAAGAATAATAAGTAATGCGTGGCGAGCGCTGTTGGATTTCGATAGATGGATTTAATTAAATGAATTAAAGATTTACGGAAATGTCATAAGAATCAAGTTTTATAGACCCAATATCGGGGCGTGTTGTTCAGAGTCAAGAGAGATCAACCACATTTAAAAAAAACAATTTATGACAGTTCAGGTTCGAACTCTTATAAAATTCCTACTTTTAATGCCACCGGTTCGCAAGTTCAAGACCTAAAAGAGTAAAGGCTGTTTTTCCTCTTTGTATTATTGTATTATTTATCCTCCTTATTTAATGCGAAGTTGAAAACTGATTTCAATATGAGTTGAAGCATCAAGTTACCTTTCATAAAGCATTTGGCAAAGCTTAGACCTTCTATACATACCCTGATGAATGTATGATTATACTTTTATAAAAAAAGAAGAATAACCATTAATAGACACAGTTATTTGTATTTAAAATTGCTTGATACTGTCTATAGGTGACCACCAGCAACTACGGCCGTCGGCAGCATACATGCGTCTGGCACGTCATTACAACATTGAGGTGTCACTCTTTGAACGCATGGTGTTGAATGGTATGCACAGTCGCAGGCTAGACGTTCAACATCGCATGCGACCTGAAATAGCCGCGCTTATATCGCCGCACATATACCCTGACCTCGCCAACCACCCTTCGGTAGAAGCGTTTCCTCATGTCCGCGGGATTACGGCAGACCTGTTCTTTTACACGCACAACTTTAAGGAAGAGGTAACAAACACATTAAATAAATACTTCTTTTCTGCACTTTTGAAATTAATTTTTACGGTGTCCCGGTCAGAAGGGCCCGCCGCCTAGGGTGCTATGGTGAATTCCTATTTTAAAATGATCTCATAAACACGTATGGCTAACGAGGGTACATAACTCCGTCGTCGTCCCAGCGGATATGCATCAAAAATCTATGACCTACTTTAAGCTTTAATTCTTTTTCAACACCCATTGCAAACTGGGTTTCCATAGTTTTGACGATTACTGATATCCTCTTGCATAGCCATCCACTGTAAAGTGAAATGAAAGAGACACGGGAGCAGAATAAAAGAAATATATTATTTCTTGAGAGAAGGCCAGTTTACTAGGCACTGTAAACGAGCGATTCAGTTTCAGACTGAATCAAGTTAGACAGCGATGACGTTTTCTCTTCATAGATCACACATATGTTATGTATGTTTTCGTGTACAGGAAAAAGTACGGCAAGAAAAGTTTGTCATGAAATTAGCATATCAGACATAGAAAATTTTACAGAAGCGGGGTGAGCAGTGACCAAGTTTAACAAAATTTAAACGAGACCATTACAAAATGTTCTATCTAGAGGACCTCATGGTCAAATTAGGCGATTGATGGCCAAAGCTCACCACTTTCCGGTGAAAATAAATTTTAAGTTAAAACTGCAAAACAAATTTTTGTAATGTTTATAATCTCTACGTTCTCTAAAAATGGCCGCACATGTTTTGTTCGTCCCGTCCCTTTTCGCTTCACTGTTTTTTGGTGGTAACAATTTGAAGCGGTCTGCTGTTATAACTTGAATAAAGTCCGTAACCGGTTCTCTAAACTCGCGGTGTAAATTTACTGTAGACTTAAAGTTGGACAGCCTAGAATGAAGAAACAATATTGAATTCCAGGCGGTAGAAGATAGTGCCAGTCGTACAAATCACAAAGAAGCAGACATGACGCTTGGCCTGGCAAATTATCTAATGCAGCAAGACTATAAGCCTGAGGACATCACTATATTGGCCGCTTACAGCGGACAAATGTTTTACATGAAAAAGGTTCGTGTTTACAATTTTGAACATATCATTTTGTAAATATATGAATATTGTATTAACTATTGACTTTTACCTACGTCTAGTCCGAAATTAGTGTTGTCAATTACTTTTCTATATTTACAGCAACGCCCGAATTATGCTTTCCTTAGTAAAGTTAAAATTACGGTAGTTGATAACTACCAAGGTGAAGAGTCCAAAATTATTCTATTATCTTTGGTTCGTAACAACGATCAAAATAAAATTGGTTTCCTTGATAAAGAAAACAGAATTTGCGTCGCCTTGTCACGAGCAAGGGAAGGTGAGTATTGCCATATTGCGAAATCTTTCGTTCATTATTATTAAAGACTGATTGTTTCTTCAGGACTATAAATATTCAGATTAACCAATCTCGTGTAATTTTTGGCAGATTCAATGTTGGCTTTAAAAATATAACTCCGATATTTGTGCTTAATGACAAATAGATAATGATAGGTATCCTCATAAACATAGTATACTATGATACTAAGTTAGAGTAAATATATGTGTAGAAACTTTATGGGTATCCTACCTACACATATTATTGCGTTTGGAATATTTGGATAGTTTAAGAAATATAAAAGAGGTAGTCTGTACCTACCAATACTTGATGTTGTTTTAACATAAAAAAGTGAATATTTTTTACCATAAACAAAAATATGTAATAAAATCAAAGCCTTAAATTATTAAAGAAATTAGCTTTTGAAGAATAGGATTGCTGTAATAAACCTTTTGGTGATGTTATGTTTCTGTTAGTGAGCAAGGTTCTAGGGCTCCACGGGGTTGAAGACTGGTATACTTTGTGGTTCAGGCCTACACAGTGGTCACGGCGAACTTTGTACTGCCTAAAGTATAACAAATGGTATTTAAACCGACTACAAAAAAGTTATGAAGTTACTCATCATTATCGTCATCATCAGCCTATTAATGTCCCCACTGCTGGAGCACAGGCCTTTTTTATTGATGGAATAGGGAGATTGCGCCATGACCGGTGGGTCATAGCGCACCACGCGGGCCCAGTGCGGATTGGCGGATGCTAACGACTGCAGATGCAGCCGGGACCAACGGCGCCTTCCGAAGCACGGAGGAACTTTAGATAGAAGATTTTTGGTCACCCATCCAATGACCGATCACTGCGAAAGTTGCTTAATTTCCACGATCGCACCCGAATGCGCTAACCACCTGCTAACCATCGAGCTCTTCATTTGAAGTTACTTATTTAGTTGAACCATTTTTCTTTTATTCATAGATTCAATTAAAATCCAACACTAATTTATTAACAATTATGTTATCAACATGAGATAAAAGATCCGATTACAGTCAGCTGAACAGATCAGGGATGTTATGGATATGAATTTTCGGATACGGATTGGATACGGATATAGGAATGCTTATTATACCGGATTAGGGGTATGAAATTATTTGGGATTATCCGTTAGTTTCAGATAATTTCGGTTACAGATATTAGATTTTTAAGGAATTTGAGAAGTAAAACACAAATAGCTATTAAAATGAACGCGCGCGGCTTGTGTGTCGGCCGCCACCCGGCCGATAAAAACAACTTGTCATAACGTATCTCAATAAGGCTCTGCTCCTATCTGATACTATCCGAAACTTATATTTCGGATTCGATTACGGTAACGGATATTTTTTTTATATCGGATATCCGATAGTTTCGATTACGGTTACGGAGCTCCCTAACATCCCTGGTACAGATAGGCGTCATAATCCCTTTAATTACGATAACTGCCTATAATGGCCTGCGCATACGAGGACGTTTGTCTGTTGATAACAAAAGTCCTTGAATAGTAGAATAAATGTCCGCCGAGGACTTATCACGGATTCAACCCACACCGTGTTCGGACAGTTATTGCCCGGTTAAGGGAAACACACGTTATAAAAGTATATATTCTTAGATTACGTTGCTTTGTAATTCATTCACATGAAGTTTAAGAAAAAGAGAAAGCGTCGGCGTCCTCGGTTGTCGGGGGAGTTTTTGTACGCGTTTTTGACTTATTCAATACCGCGTGTTCTTTACATTCTCAATGCAGTAGTTAGCGATCTATTTTTGTAGACAAAAAAGTCCACGGACGCGAAAATTCCCTCGTCCGCGCAGGCCATTAAAAATTATAAAGCATTTGTTATTAGTTTATTTCTGTTAAATAACTTTATTTTGGGTTGCAATCGATTGGTTTTATTATCTTTCGTTTTCAGGCTTTTATATATTTGGCAATATTAAAATCTTGAAGGATAACTCAACATTGTGGACTAAGATATGTAAAACTTTGGAAGATATGGGTTCCATTGGTACCAATCTTGTACTACAATGTGAAAATCACCCAGATCAATTATCGATGGTTGGTATTAAAATTTCTTTATAACTAAACCACTTTTCTCCTGTAAGTTTTCCATACATCATACATTTTTAACATCTTCTTTTGGCACCTGCTCCTTCATACCAACATTTTCTATAGAAATATTGTAATGAAAATCATGCTTTGACTACTTCATATTAAACTCTTAAAGTGATAAAAAGCACAGTTAAGTTAGTATATCGTGTGAATGTTTGGTTTTTAGTAATGAATGTACCTAGTCTAGGCTAAGCTGCACAACAAAAACTAAGAGTTTCCTGTTTATTCAGAGCCTTGTAGTTATTATGTAACAAGTAACATGTATGTAGTACGGAATACGCACAGCCTTACACTTCTCTATAACATACTGTTCAATCTTTTGTCCCCACGCTATCCTAAGGAATGTTTTAATTTCCTTCACACTTCGAACACATTGTCCCTAAAAATCTCCATCTCATTACTCCTATTCACTGTACAACTTTTTATGGCTGTTCTTTCGCAGTAATAGCCGTTCTCCTATAGAATGCTCTTTCAGTTTCCTTAAGACGTGCAAAATCTCTCCACATTAAAAAAACCTTTTTTGATCTCACTATATGTCCTTTTAACCCTTCCATTTTTTAGCTTAGCTGACTGAATTAGACATAAGTATGTCTGTATTTATTCATATATTTATGTGTATAACTATGTATGTATGTATTCGTGTAGGTATATACATATATGTGTGTATTGTTTTAATTTTGATCATATTTGTTTGAATGATTTTTATGTCGTTTTGTGTAGTTAATACCGCCGTCTCTCCAGCTTCTTTCTTGTCTTCTCTATCCTAAGGCTGTCTGGAAGAGCGCTTTTAGCGATAAGACCGCGCATTATTACACTGTAGTTCATGTTTTATTTTTTCTGTGGTGTAAAAATAAAGAGTTTTGTATTGTATTGTTATAAATGCTTAATTTGTATGGAGGTGTGTAACTCTTTCACGCTGGCACGGCTGACCGGATTTTGGTGGAATTTAGCATATACCTATATAGTAGTATCACCTAGATTGACAGATAGGATAACTTTTTTCCGGAAAAGTTAGGTTCCTATGGGATCTGAAACAAGTAACTCTGACGCGGACAATGTCGCCGGCAACATCCGGCACATGCTAGTTCTTAATATTGTTGCTTGTATATGTAACAAACAAAAGTAGGTTATGCAGATTCATATCTAGGTACAGGCAGTCCCCGACTTACTTCGTTTCGATTTACGTCATTTCAAGTTACGTCGAACAATGTTTTCACACTATTCCTCAAGCGTACGTCAATTGTTTCGATTTCCGGCATAGGAGAATTCACTTGTCGCGAGGTCATTGTCCGTGGGGTCGGCGTCCATGGGCATTTCTCGACTCACGTCGCGGGTTTCAAGAACCTAACATGCCGTAAGTACGAGGACTGACTGTAGTTACTTTTATGATCATCATTTCTAGATAAATACACATGAAGACTTTCAAAAGGTTCCAGAAGGAGGTTGTCTTTTGAAATGTAACTACAACCTGCCTGCTTGCGGCCATCGTTGCCCTCGAATATGCCATGGATACGACAAGGGGCACTCTGAAGAAAAGTGTCAATTAAAATGTGAAAGGTAACTTGTAACACCAAAATTTTGATCAGTTTAACGAGTGATATCTATTATGTAAGTAAAATTATTTAATGTACCGTTGCATTTAAAAATAGCTCTTATTACCTTGTATGATCTAACATTTTTTTTTAGAAATAAGATATAGAATAGAAATAAGATATAGAATTAGAAATTTCGCCCTTGACGTATTTAAGGGTACAAATATAAGAATATTTAGTTTAAATTTTATAACTTATTGATATTAAGACCTATATTCACGTACAATGTTACAAGATATAAATCTATCTTCATTTTATTCACAATAAAAAATCTATAAAGTCGGATTACAGACGATAACGGGGTTTTTGGTCCGGTTCGCTTGAGCTCAAGCACGCCTCTGTAGCTCAATGGGGGCCCGAGTTAGGATCCGCGGGGGCGAGGTTCTCTTCGAGGGGATATAGGAGGGGGGGGGGGAGAGGTCAGGGAAGTCGAAGGAACCTTTCGACCCCAACCCCCCTTCTTGCCCTCCACCTCTAATAGTACCTCAACCCCGCGGAGCCATGTCGTCACATAACGTGACTGACTTACACTTTTTCGTGAGTGCAGCCGGTGTTCATCGATATAAAGGACGTTGTTACGTCACAAATAAAGAAATTATCAAGACTCGATTTCGTTTCTTGTATTTTGGCGTAAGTAGGTTCACTACAAATGAATAACGAGATGTGAAAGTTTTGTATATACCTAATACTTGATGTAATGTTCGTGCTGCGTATTGTATTTACTTAGTCTGAAATCATCATTCGTTGTAGGACAAAAAGTTGTGTAAAAACTAATACGCCTTGAATATTTTTTTATAGGGTGATCTGCGAACTCGGACACGCATGCCCATTGAAATGTGCTCAGAAATGCAAACCATGCATATATCTCGTGGCGAAGACCTTACCATGTGGGCACACTAAGCAGGTTGGATATAAATATTTTATGCACATATAAGCATGGACCAAAATTATTTGTAGCACGACATATATAGGGATAGCTACGCAAGACAAGACAGACATGATTATTCCTGACGGATGATCAAATGGTGCAGAGTGTCTTGGGACGCGCCAATTTTAAACTCTGGCAACGATAAGATTAGCAACCCTGTAGAATGTAAAACAAATCAAAATTTAGGTCAGTAACAAAATGCCTGTATACGGCTCCTGCCTCCACTCGGAGCTCTTGCAGCGGCCCCTCCCAGCCTACTAGGTAAATACGCCTCTGAATGTCTTTCACCGTCGTCTATTTTGTTTCTTATTGCCGCGAGTTCTAAGTACTTATGAGCTGCAAAAATACTATTAAACTAAATTATGCTTAGGCAAATGTCTAAAGTAAATCCTGTCATTTTAATTCCAATCTTTTGAGCAAATATTAATGTTGATTAACGAAGGCTTTTTCTGCAGGTGTATTGTAATCAAGAACCTAACGATCCCACGATAAAGTGCAACACTCCAGTTGCTGTCACCCTGCGCTACTGTGGACATGAGGTCAGTTCTATAAATACGTCGAATAAAACACAGTTTAACCACGCCACGGTACAGCTATTTGTACTGCGATCCTGGGCTAACTATTCTGGTGAATGAATTTTAATTCGTTTTTTCCACTCCTCTCTTCGGCAAGTAGTTGACGTTGATATTCTACCATTATGAACGTTAGCATTGATAGTCTTCACGTAAGGGTTGCTGAAGCTTTTCGCCGCTTACCTTAACAATACACACTAGTTTGTGTGAGTTTTTAGTCTGTCGAATACTTTATAAGGTTTGCTCCTGGGGTCAGTCAAGGAAGTGCATTGGGTCCTTATTATTTGATGATTTGCCAATGTTTAAAACGCGGTCCGGTGCCTTTTCTACGCGGACAAATTAAATTCGTTTAGACATAAAAGTCACGGTTGAACAAACTTACACCGATATAGTAGATGCGGTATCATGGTGGAGTTTAGCTCATTCAATTGCTATTAATTAAGGAGGACCATATGAATAGGTAATTCTAAAGTTATCACTTACTACGTAAATATCCTCGCAAATGTTGTCTATTTTAAAGACTATAAGATAGGCGACACCTCTAGTGACAAAATTAGTGAAATTAAAGACGTAAGATTTTAATCGTATTTATATGTATTATATTCAGTTTAAAGCATTTTTTTTGTCACATATTTTTATACTTATTTTTATATTACCTAGTCAGGTCATAAATTCTTTCACATGTTTAATATAAAATAATTGAAACAAGTTTATTCATAATGTAACTATTTATATACCAAAATGAACTTAACAAAATATAGATTCTTATGACAATAAAGTTTATTCAAAATGACCTCCGTGATTTTGAATACTATCCTTCAATCTGCGCGGCCAGTCGTCTATCGCAGCACGAACGAGATCCATGTCAATATCGGCGGCTGCCTTAATCAAGAATGTCTTGAGTGACTCCAAATTGGGATGAGGCTTTGAGCACGCCTTTTCCTCCAAGTGTTGCCATATCTTGTAATCTAACGGACTGAAATCTGGACTGGAGGAGGGCCAGTCTTCGTGCCTGATGAAGTCGATTTCACGCGCCGACAGCCAGTCTTGTGTGCTCTTCGCTCTATGAGCTGGCGCCGGATCTTGTTGGAATACCCAGTGCCTGTTATTGAACATGGTATGAGAAACAGGTTCCACAAGGTTCGTCAGGACTGTATTTTGATACACAACTGCATTCGTTTTTACACCTTTCTCATAAAATGTACCCCTGTTAAGCCCCAATAAGAAACTCCCAACCATACCATGAGCGAGGATGGAAAATGACCTCGTTGGACACGCGGAATACGGTTGCTCGCTTCTTCACTACTGTGTGCGTACACATTATCATTTTGTTTGTTGTAGCTCTCTTCTACGGTAAAAATTTTTATTCCGAAAAAAGAATTTCCGCGTACTGCTGCAACAAGGCGCGGCATCTCTTCAGTTTCAGGTCCATTAGACGAGCATTCAAACGATGTCCTGTTTTTCTTCGTTATGCCCGAAGCCCTAAGTCTTCATATAACACCCTTTTCACCGTGGTTCTGCTTAACCCCATTGAAGGGCCAACAGTTTCTGCTTACGTTTGGGATTTATTTTGAATTCGCGCCTTCACACCTTTATCACTACTGGAGTCCTATCAGACCGAGGGCGACCACTTCTTGACCTGTCATCTACACTAGAGTCTTCATTGTATCGTTTGTTGGTACGATAAACGAATCTTTTGGTTATATTTAAATTTTTCAGTATGTCAAAAATTTGAATTGGCGCGTAACCGCAACAACTGCAACGCGGTCTTCTTTAAGCGTCCACTCCATATTTATAAACGAGTAAAATTCTAATAAGTATACGTTTTTATTTTTATAAACAATTCGAAAATCTTCATAAACTTTTCTTTTAGAATGCTGGCCACAAAAAAGTTTACTGGATTCCAGTAAACTTTTTTGTGGCCAGCATTCTAAAAGATAAGTTTTTACTGGGTGACAATACTTATGACCTGACTGTGTACATATTATTATTTGGTAGACACAAGTACACGGTCCGCCTGATGGTAAGCACCGTGGCCTATGACTGACTACTATCTCGATATACGTATGTGTGTAAAATTTCAGCTCAATCGGAAGCCTGTCATTAGTGTGACAAAAGAGATTGCTCAAATTGGCCTAAATGCACAAAAAATATTGACATACACGGTAATTCTTGGCGTAATTTATAATTTAATTTACAGTCATTAGATTTCAACGGACACCTTTGTATAATATATTTACTTTAAAAAGGACTTTTAATTTTACCGGTTTGGAAAACATACGATTTATTTTTAATGGCTATGGGTGTAGTAACATTCAGCCAAAGACTGATCGAAGTTGTTTATATAACATAAAAACAAATCTATTTTGTAAAGATCGATAAAATAAATATATTTTTTTATTACACTGTGGTATTAATATCCACCACTATATTATCATTTTCACTAGATGCAAATGTGCTCAGACAATTATTATAGATGGTAGGCGACATCATAAAGTCTATTGCCATACATTTTTCGCCAAAGACCTCCATAAACACATTATAATCTGTATATATGTTAGACTTTAAGGTATCTATGTATGGGCCTTCGTTCCCTGACTATAAATTAATAAGTAAATAAAATTATAAGGTGTGATACACTAAAAATCTAAAATATGGTTATCTTAAAAACATAACAAAAATAATGAAGCTACTGAATATATGGCTATAGAACCTAAATCTCTTAGCTATCTTTGGTTAATGAGAGTTTAAAAATGCTCTCTAATCTGTGGCTCATTCACAATCATCACACAGTTTCTGTCACAGAATACCTTATTATAACCGGAAATGACACCTGATTTTAAAAGTTACTCTTATGCATTAACTTTAAAAACAGGCAACTATCTGTTAATCTACATGCTCTATATACCTGAATCTAATCCATAATTTCGGTACTTGGCTTGCTTTCCCTAGTTTACTATATAACTTTTTTGATTTTTATTATTTTAATATGTTCAGTGTATATGGTTTATAGAAGTTCTCAGAGGTGTCCGTCAATAATATTCGTTTCTACAGTAATTTATACATAATTTCGAATCTAGGAAACAATTTTTCATGATTATTGGTCTTTAGGCCAAACATGTATGGAAGCTGAGCAATCTCCTTTAACTTGCATTACACACAATCGACAGGTGAAAGTAAATAAAAGCTTGTAAATATAATGTTTAATATATATAGAACCGATCTAAAATTAACTTAAAATTAAAACTAGATTTACTGACTCTCATATATTTAAAGTCGATATTATTATCATGATCTGCCTGCTAAACAGTCTAAACACACGGCTTAGTATCGATTTTAAATAGGTATCAGTCGGTAAATCTAATTTATTCATTTTCCGTTTTTTAAGCCGGTTCTATTTTTATTTAAAAAAATGTGAGTGAAGGGTATTTTAACAACGTTTGTTAATTAAACGCATTCTCAGGAAATTTTGTTCTAATACTTACTATAAACTGATTTAATATAAAATATTTGTGATATTCAAATGCATGGTCGGTAATGTAGCCGCCTCGTCCCCGCGGTCCGTACCTGCCACGGAGGAAAAACAAAGAGGAGCTGGCCTAAGCAACTGTGCACTGTGATTTTCAACTAGGTCCTGACGTCATCATTGTGGGCGGGGCCTAAGTCAGTATGCTTTCAGCGTTCGTCAGGTGCACACTTAACGAGACTCGCATTATAAGTGTTTTTTTGCGTTTTTAACAAGAAAAGGATGAAGTTTTGTGTTTTACTATGTCAAAGTTACTCAGACAGACGTTCTGATAATATGGATGGCATCACATTTCATTTGTAAGTAATTTTATACGTAATTAAATATATAACTTCTAGAACATTCTCAGCCTCAGCTATCAGCGTTAAAATTCTACTACTTGACACCAGATGGCGACACTTTTAGGAAGAAAATACACAAGTTTACGTATAATTTTGCAGTAGTATATTGTAATAATCATACGTAAATACTGAAAACTGTTATACACTTATTCCTAAATAACTTTTAGTATCTAAAACAGTAATTTTATCAATATATTACTTACTGGCCGCCATCTGTCGTCATATAGAATAACTTTTTAAACGTTACAAATATCCAGGGCCGTAATACGTATTAAATTATTTTACCAAGTAAATAAATTTTAATTATTTTTATGTTCGTTTTAGATTTCCATCCAACGATAATTTAAAACAGCAATGGATTTCAAAACTTAATAGACCGGATTGGACACCATAGAAGAAGAAGATATTTCCATTTTAAATGAATCTTCTGTGCAAAAAATTAATATTAGTGTCGATTCTGGTATAATTCTCTAAAGCTAAACTTAAATTTGACAACAATGTATCTTTGTCATTCTCTATACAGAATGAAAAGGAGAGACTGATGTTAAATTTAGTTTTAAGTTTAGAGAATCACGCCAGAATTGGCATCATTACATCAGAACGTTATCGCATTTTAAATAAAATGAGTTTCGAGTCTTCGGATAGCACGGATGTCGAGCCTATGCCTGACGATATGTTATTGGAATTTGATGAACAATTAAATACAACTATAGGTGACTATTTGCGCCGTCAAATAGTAGCATATATTTCTGGGTATGTGATCAAATATTTACATTCCAAGATCAAATGTGAGAGCTGTCTCAAAGAATTATATGCTGATAACTACGACGATAGTGACCTTGATTTGATAAAAACTAAAAATAAGGGTGGTCTTACTTTCCCATCTAGAGATGTCATAAAAATATGTATACGGACCGAAGGCAGTATTCGTTGTGTTAAATCGCAATCTTTGAATACTCCTAACTTTCGTAAACATAAAATTGTATCGAATACATTAAAATCACTTATTGGACAAGATTGTTTCAAAAAATCGGCCAACCATATGTTTGACCAATCACCTACAGTTAATCATGTTGTATTTCTGATGAATTCGATTGCAG